AATATGATAAAAGGCTTAAAATAAAGGATAAAGAAATAGAGATAAAAAAAATAAAAAAAAAAAGATAGGAGGCGTCGGCCTTGTATTGTTTTGATGATGATCGGGTGATCCTTCGTCTTTGCCCGCGGCTACCTTTAAATACAGGAATTGGTCGTGGGTTTTCTTGGATGCAAAGTTAGGTCAAAAACCAATTCCTATTTTGTTGGAGAAGAAGTTGGCTTCCACGTAATTAATAGGAAATATGAATAATACTTATACTAGGAGATTCCCTCCATATGAGAGTTCGGCGAGTCCCACTTGTAGTATAAATCCTTAGCTTGCCAATAAAGTAATCAACTTGGTCAATCACCACCTTAACCCACGTAGGGAAATTGTGTACAAACCAACTCTAATTTGACCTCCAAATAACCTCACATAAATATTATCAAATCAATCCCAGTGCGAATAGAATTAGCCTTCAAATATAATCCCTAAATTATAGGAAACATCCCATAATTAACCATATCGAACCGGAAATCCCATTCTCATATTATATTCCTCCAAATGCATATTATGGTCCCATCGGTCGGCGGTTCGAAATAAACCGAAATCTATTTTGGTGGTAACTAAAGCCCCTCGAACGTTGACATGGAATGAAATGAGATGTGAACGTTAATAATCAAAAGGCTATCAATAATAAGCATTCGGCACAGCGCTAACGTCCACATAGTACCATCCCACTGGATAAACAATATAATATGGCACACATGCATAGTGAGGAACATAATGATCAAAAGAAGTTGGACACTTCCTCCATCGAGATGATGAAGATCTTCGTCTAAATTTACCAGTTGTACCAGACCTTCTGGAAGTGTGTCGGTGTGTACCGTTATTGTCACTACTGTTGTGCCAAACTTTCGGAACATGCTGGAACTGACCCTTATGTGCAGAAACACTATTATGCAGCCCCTTAGTAGCATTCTGAACCTTACAACTCGAAGTGTCATCGACACCTTCAATTAGTTGTTTGGTTCTGACCAAGTCTTGGCCATCAAACACTAATGGGAAACATACTAGCGATCACAATGTACTTCGAGTTGACTGCCAAATTGAATGAACATTGGCTCTGTATTTTGGCAACCATCATCCACAACAACACTCTCTTGGGTGTTATTGGCCTTAGCATCAACCACCGAAACTGCCACAGTAGAGTTTTTCTCATGGTCGACCTCATGTTGGATATTCCCATCATTATTGTTCCCGGCAATGCACTACTAGACTTGTCACTGGTTACCTCTGCCTCAGATGCTCTGATTCTAGTAGGACGCGTAACTGAAGGTGTACGCATCTTTGACTAAGGTTGGGTGAAACGCTTCTTTTCTCGACCAATCATGGATTTCACTAACTTGCGATCATTGGCCAAATCAAATCTCCATTCCTCAGCAGCACCATAATTCAACAAGCATATGTGCCAGCTTGATTATCATCTGAACCACCTGTTCTAGCCACTGGTTCTGTATCACAACCGTCAAAATCAATCCCACGCAACCGAGGCACAAAATCAGGACAATGAAAACCATGTGGCACAGGTTTTCCTTTACGTCATTTGCTCCTTGTAGAACCCCTTCTGTCATACAACCATGCCTAATTGTTGTTCCATTTAACCTGTGAGGAATTACTCACTTCAACGAGCTTATCAGCACTAGTGTCACACTGCCTATCATGAGTGGCATTATCTGAACATTCAAGTTGCTGGTCATCTAAATCTTTCTTTGGAATCTCATCAGGTAGAGAAACTGCCAATTCATTTGTCATAGGTAAATTAACATCATGACTGTCGTACGGCCTTGTTCCTCTAGGTACTTGGATTCATCGTCATCTAAACCCTTGGAAACAGAAGTGACAAGTTTAGGATCATCATAACTTTCACAAATAATCTCCTCAATGTCGCCGTCACTGCTCAACGAATCACACAATGTCCTGCAATCAACTACAACAGGGACTATTTCAGAAAGAACAGGCTCACACGGTTTACCCATAGGATCAAGATGCTTTTGCTAGAGATTAGCATCTATAATGTCATCAATCGGCAGTGACTTAATTGCTAAATTAGTAAGTAATTCCTACACCAATCGAATCTGTGACTGTGGCACCACTTGCTCACAATGTGCCTGCAACAACCCTTGCTGGTACGGTGACTGCTGCAACACCTGTAAATCATGTACTTGCAGTTGTGACAAAACATGTTGAACCTGTGTCGATGGCTCCTGCTGGTACTGCAATTTCTGCAACACCTCTGAACTATATACTTGCTGCACATCTTGCTGGAATTGGGCCTGGAACTGTGACAATGCCTGCAAATATTGTGTCGACTGCATCTCTTGTTGATATTGTACCTGCAACACCTGTTGTTGCTGTGCCAGCGACACCACTTGTTGATATTGAACCAGCAACACCTGTTCTTGCTGTGGCAGAGCATGCTGATTCTGTGTTGACGGCTGAACTTGTTGATGTTTATGTGCAACACCTGTTAATGTTGTATCGAAGGTTCTATCATGTTGCAACCGTCAACCAACATGCTGTGACAACCATACGCTTGATTGTCAATAGCAGCCAACCCCCTGAGACTTGAGAAATCTTGCTCCGTGGAGTCATTATACCATTCGGCAACACCACCAGATTGCTAATTAACACCATGTTGATCATAAAAGTGAGAATAATAGTCACTAGAGGTATCCAGACATCCACTAGTACTTTGGATCATAAAAGAAACATAATTAGGATGTGAAAGCATGGACTCATGACAGATTTGTCCACCAAGAAGCATAATTAGGAATGGACTATATGTATATGAAGGTTGGGGATTATCAGGCGACGTATAAGAAGGAGACATAGATCTAGGGCTACTAAAACCATAAGTATGGCTATTAGAATAGTCCATGATGAAAAAGAAAAATAATTTTTTTTAATTATTCGAGAAAGAGGAAAAATCCCACAATAGAAAAAATAAACCAAAACTTGATAAAATCACCTTCAATGGTGGGAAAGAAAAAGAAGGGTAAAAATCTCTCAAACATAAAAAAGATCAAAAGATTGTGGATGAGTTTGAAAACAAGTCTCGGACTCGGAATCGAGAACTTACGGTTTACTTTGGTTTGTAAAAGAAATAAAAAGAAAGAGATGGTAGAATAAGCCAAGTGGCTCGATATATATAAGTGGGAAAAGAACTAACACCGACAAGGAATAATTCGTCTTATCGATGGCACGCTATTACCTAGAAGAGAGATTACATAAGATTCGACTTTACTGAGTAGAAATCGATAACATACTACCTAATCTATGAAGAAAGAATAGGCAAAGAATTATATATTTAGGCTAGTTCTATGAAAATATGATAAAAGGCTTCAAATAAAGGATAAAGAAATAGAGATAAAAAAGATAGGAGGCATCGGCCTTGTATTGTTTTGATGATGATCGGGTGATCCTTCGTCTTTGCGTGCAGCTGCCTTTAAATAGAGGAATTGGCCGTGGGTTTTCTTGGATGCAAAGTTAGGTCAAAAATCAATTCCTATTTTGTTGGAGAAGAAGTTGGCTTCCACGTAATTAATAGGAAACATGAATAATACTTATATTAGGAGATTCCTTCCATGTGAGAGTTAGGCGAGTCCCACTTGTAGTATAAATGCTTGGCTTGCCAATAAAGTAATCAACTTGGTCAATCACCACATTAACCCACGTAAGGAAATTGTGTACAAACCAACTCCAATTTGACCTCCAAATAATCTCACGTAAATATTATCAAATTAATCTCAATCCAAGTGTGAACAGAATTAGCCTCCAAATATAATCCCTTAATTATAAAAACATCCCATAATTAACCATATCGAACCAGAAATCCCATTCGCATATTATATTCCTCCGAATGGATATTATTGTCCCATCGGTCGGCGGTCGGAAATAAACCAAAATCTATTTTGGTGGTAACAGATTCTTTATCATATGCTAAATTCTGAAACAAAAGAAACAATAATGGATCTCAGTTTCAATGAAATTTAATCAATTTCTAGTTATTAAAAACAATTCTTTAAGCCCTAAGCATTTTTAGTGCCGTAATTATCAAGAGTTACATTTGTGTACAAGTGACACTAAGCACTTTTCAGTGAATCTTTATAAGTAACACTTCATATACGTGATGATGAGTAACATATTGTTAATAAGTCTTATCCGTGTTTGTATAAGATGGGGAGTTTGAGTCACCTATAGGGTAACTCCCGAGCTACCATATCGAGCACATATATGTTTTGTTATGCAAACAATATAAAAATTCAAAAAAAAATTTTATTAAAATAGATTAATTTTTGCAACTAATGCATTTGAACATGAGGTCTTACTTTGGTGTTAAGTCTCTAGGTGAATCCTTTAGAGATCCAAGGATCGAATGCCATCCAAGCTATGTAATTACAGAGGTTTTTCTTCCAAAAAAAAAAAAAAAAAAAAAGTAACCATTGCATTTAAACTTTTTAATTTAATAAAGAAAGTTGTGTATGCTCTTGGACCGAATGGAAGTCGATTTTATTAAACATATGTAAGATATGATTGTTTGATATTGGTTCTGCCGTTCTGGGAAATTGAAAATGATTAGGAGCTAAAAATACTGGGGTAAAATAATTAGGATATAGGAGACGCTTATTTTGATATTTACATGGTGATAGAGCTAGTAAAAATACCCAAACCCATTGGGATCCCAATAGGACCCTTATTAAATGGGTGGATAAATTTCGCCCTTATTTTATTGGGCACATACAGATAAGCGTTAATTATGAGCGGGTAAATATGGGGTTTGGGTTTGGGTCTCATTGGGATTTTTTGGGTACTAATTAAATTATATGAGTTGTTCTTATCTTTTCAGTTTCATTATTTTTACTCATAATCAGTGCCACCTCCACCGCCACTGCCACATCTACCCTATCGCCACCGCCACCGCCATCTCCTCCCCCACCTCTAATATAATCCGCTAGTGTTCAACCACCGGGAGAGAAACCGGAATCTCCGAAGGCATGTTCAAGGGAGAATTGGATTTTGGAGTCAGACTCGGATCCAGAACCCACTTCCGAGGATCTCTTCTTGATCGGTTGAGATGGTGAACTGGGAACAGAGAAGCCCACATCAAGGGTCAATCGCGGGGCGGAACAACCTTCAAGATCGAACTCTTTGTCGTCGACGAGGAGCTCATCGGATTGGCAAGCGAACGACACTGTCAACAGAAAAGAGAGAGAAATAAATAACAGAAGTAGTTATCAGGGAAGTGTCTGATGGACCTTGAAGTTGATCGGCACATATCCAGTGGACGAAGCCCTTATTTATTAGTCGGATAGTGGCAGAGGTCTCCTTCTCACCATCCGCCATTGATGTACCTCCGCAGAACACTTAAATCCCTTTTCCTCTGAAAATCCTTTTCTCATAAAGAGGGTGCTCATCAAAGGATAATGATTAGTGCAAGGAAAAAATGAGAAGGAAAAATGACAAGGAATTGACCACAGCCATTCATTCTTAAAACTTTCCATTTGTAGTTTAAGCATTTAAGGTTAGGGGATAGTTTTGATAAATGGCACATAATTCCTTGTAAGTTTTTCTTGTAAATTTTCCCTGTACCTTGATATGCATATATTTTACCTATTTATTATATTCCTAATTTGTGACTTTTGCAATATATTTTGAGTACAAATATGCTATTTATATGATTTCATCTTTGATTGTAGGAATTTTACTCAAATGGAAGAATTGTTGAGGTTTTGGACTAGATTGAAAAGAAAGAACAACTAAAAAAGGCCTAAGTGAAGATTGTAAGAACTAATGAGGAGGGAATTAGAAGACTTGAAGATTTAGAGGACTGAATTGCAATTTTCATTTTTTTAGGGTTTGGCCGAAACAAGGACTTGCGGCTGTTTTTGGAGTTGAATTGGGTAAGAATTTTAATCCCAATATTATTTGGGGAAACAAGTTTTCTTCTTCTCCAAGTAGTAGGGTTTGACGGAAGCCTACAAAAGGAGGATTAGGGTTTTATTTTTAGAACCGAACTTGACCGAACCTCTACCGAAACCAAAACCACCGGCGACAGCTTTCTCCTCTCCACCTTACGCACATCATCATCACCATCACCGCCTTTCTACTTTCCCTCCTCCGCCGATTCACCACCTTGCCTCCTTCCTCACCACTTCAAAGCGGCAGCCCCCTCCTCTCTGCAAAAAAACCCCACACAGCTCCACCTTCATCATTCTCCACTCCCACGCACCACCGAACTTCAACAAAACCCAACCGAAGCCGCAGCAGCTTCTCCTCCTTGACCTCACGCAACACCAGCTCACCACCTTGCATCCAGTTCATCACCACACAGCTCCACCACCGAGACCACCTTCTTTCCTTCTTGCCGCAGCACACCACTCCCATCATCATCAGCACTTTAATCATCATCATACGCGAAGCAGCTCAAGTCTCCTGCCAATCTCTTGCACGCATCATCAATAAGCAGCAATCTGGGAGCTTTTCGGCGGCTCTTGCCTTCATCCAGGTGTTTTTGTTTTAATTATTTAATTTAGATTTTTAGGATTATGTCTCTAAATATTGTTGAATTATTTTTGATAATGTTTAGTGGCTAAATTCTTTTAACCTAGGGCTTGGATGTAGCCGCCGGATTTATTTGGTTTATTTGATTCATGATACTTTGATTTTTTTCATTGATCAATATTTAATATTGTTGCTTTTATTCCATGTTTGTAACTGGTCACTACTTGCATGTTTAAAGATATTAATTGAAGGAATGACAGTTGAAAATTAATATTAGTTCATGAGAATATTGGACTTAGGTAGTGAACCACGACAGTAGGAACACAACCTTTACAATGTTAGATTCTTAAGTTCTTAATGTGCTTTTGTTAATCCTATAGTCACGAGAGTAGTCATCGGGTTAATCTAAGTAAGAGAATTATAATGCGAGAGTGGGTAGTTCTTAATTAGGTGAATCGTTGTGAGATTAATGGAAGTTAAAATTTAGATATTTGTGAATTGAATCAAACCAAGTATTCGGTAGGTGAACCCAATGTCCTAGGTTTTCTTTGTCTGATTATTTGAATTAATATTATTTGTTTTTATTTTATTTATTTATTTTAGTTTTAAATTTTATAAATTTGAGATCATCGTTTATCTAGATAATAATAGGAGTAATTTATACCTGGTAATTAGTATTCATTCTCTGTGGGTACGACCCTATTTTCTGCTATACTAGTGTTAAGTAGGTGAATTTATTTAACTAGTTGTGACGACGGCTTGTCATACCTATCACTACTCCTCATCAAAATGGTCTTAATAATAAAGCAAAATTTAGAGTCTAGATAAACCCTTGCTCAGGCCCAAAATCCCCAATTTTCAGCAATTTGCCGCCATTACCCATTACCAATAAAACTAAAAAAAGATAGAAATGAATTGGATATCCCATTGGGATCCCAATAATTGCACTTAATGGGATCCCAATGAGTACTAGGCTACCCATTACCTAATCTCTACCTAATCCCACATGTGTGTAAAATAAATGGGTAATGAAAATCCCATACCCAAAATATATCGCCCATTAAATACCCGCCCAATTGCCAGCTCTATTGATAATACTAATTAATGACTACACACTACAAGGGCTACCTAACAAAAACATTAAGAAAACTTTATGCGAGTTGTGACTTATATTTCAGCTGTGTATTATCTTCAGCGAGACAAGCATTATGTATAGAAAAATAACTATATAATGTCGAGGTTTTGTTCATTGTTGAGTTGTTCTATTATGTTTCAGTTAAAACATGTCTACTGTTTAACGACTTTTAACATATCGTTTGTTGAAGGTTCATCATTGTCTGTTCCTTTTCCCCTGCAATTATTTCAACAGCTACGATTCGTTGTGGTTCATGAAAAATTGCAAGTAAGGTTTGTGAGTTAGTGGGCATACCGTTAGATTTGTGACTTCGATCCAAATTACTTAGAACAGTAATTTCAATTATCTAGCCCGAAAATTGCAGTGGCCAGAAGGAAGTGATGGAGGGAAACAACCAGCAGCTACTATCTAGGAGGGGTTTGATACGAAGAAAATGAAAAAAATAGGAGCTCCTCTGGATTTTGTGCAGCCACAATTGGTTGAAGGGAAGAAGGTCACGATGGTTCAGAAGGAAGCAGTAGAGCCGAAAACGGAGTACTTGCATCCGTCGGTCATCAGCTTCGTACTGAGAGCCAATCCGCCGATTAAAGTTATGGAGAAGTTCTACCGACAGATATGACAGCACCTGGGAGTAGAAATGGTACTGTTTCTACCTACTGGACTGTGTCTTATTTAGATTTTCTTCTATGGAGTCTAGAGATGAAGTGTTGAAAACGCATGTTTATCATATGGGTGTGAACCCCGTAGTGGTTAAGCCATGGGCTGTGGAGAAGGGTATGAACTATCGTGATATCAAACACGTTCCATTATGGTTACTGTTTCTTGGTCTTGATTTGAAGTTCTAGAACCCTAGTACCTTAAGTCGAATAGCAAGTACCCTGGGAACCCCCATTGCTGCGGATGAACCGACAACCTACAAAGATAGAGCAGCATATGCTCGCGTCCTTTTTGATGTTGAGATACAGGACAAACCCCCTTTGGTTGCTCAATTTGTGGATGAGTTGGGTATAGTTAGAGAGCAACCAATCGACTATGAGTGGAGACCCACTCAATGTCAACACTCTCCGGGTTATGGCCATGGGAAGGAAGATTGTAGAAGAAAGCAAAGAATGGAAATGGATAGGAAAGTGGAAAAAGAGGTACAACAGAGAAAGGAGAAGGATAAGGTAGAGTGGACAATTGTACAAAGTGGAAAGAAAACTGTAGAACAACGGCCAGAGGCGGTCTCAACTCCCACTATGGTAATTCTTGAGCATAGTAAACAACAGATTACAGTGAAATTGAGACAGCAGAAGAATGTGGTGTCAACTACAAATGCTGATCAGAATGGATTCAGCACAGATGACTGAGGAAGGGAATCAGGGGGGAACAAGTGACAGTTGAAGAAGGGAATGGCGAGATGAAGGATGACAGGGTGCAGAACGTAGGGGATCAGAGGCATCTGGATCCAGGAATACATGTATAAGATCCTACATTGGAATACAAGGGGGTTGAATAGTCCCCTTAAATAAACAGAGGTTAGTAGTATCAGTTCAAAGTTTTAGATTAGCTTATTATGTTTAGTAGAGAAAAAGCTCACAATAGAGAAGGTAGAAGAATTTAGAAGAGGTTTGGCCAACTTTTGAAGTTTATACAAATGCACAGGGGAGTATAAGAGGGAGAATCTATTTATTATGGGATCCTAGACTAGTGGAGGTGACTATTCTTTGCACTGAGTAGTATATACAATGTCTACTAAAGTCTAAACTAGATGCTAGGAGTGTTTTTGTGACTTCTATATATGATTCAAACAATGCGAGTGAAAGAGATATATTATGGGAAAGAATGAGATGGCTGGTACTATTAATGGACCTTGGATCGTAGTGGGAGACTACAACAACGTGTTGAAAGTTGATGAAAGATTAGGGGGTAATAAGGTTACAGTAACAGAGACTCGAGGGTTTCAACGATGTGTCACTAAATGTGAGCTTCAAGATCTAAAGCAGCAAGGGAATAGATTCACATGGACCAATAAACAAGTTGGTTATGCCAGAATATGGTCAAGAATTGATCAGGCATTAGTCAATGGGGACTGGATATTGGAATTCCCTCATTCAATTGCCACAATATTGAATGAAGGAGTTTTAGACCACTGCCCTGTGGTAATTAAACTGGAAGGAGATGATGCCAAACAGCCAAGACATTCAAGTTCTTTAATATGTGCTGTCAGGCTGGAAAATACTAAGAGATTGTGCAAGAGAGCTGGTGCAAAGAGATCTAGAGTACTCACATATATCAACTGGTCAAGAAACTTGAACGACTGAAACCGGCTTTACGACAGCTAAATAGAGATAACTTTGCTGAGATTCAGTTACAGGAAAGGGAGTGGGGGAACGCTTAAAATAGATGCAAGCACTTCTACATGCAAACCCTGGGGATGTAGTTATGCAACAACAGGAGAGGGAGGTCTACCACAAGTATGTAGAGATAAAGAAAGCAGCAGAAAATTTCCTCCACCAGAAGGCAAAGGAGATGTGGATCAAACATGGTGATACCAATAGGTTGTTTTTCATGCCAAGCTGAAAATCAGACAGATGCAGAACAGAGTTACATCTATAGTAAGTGAAGATGGCCAACTGATCACGGAATGGAAGGTCGTACAGAAGCATTTCATTGACTTTTTTCAAAAGCAACTGGGGCAACAGAGTATTCGGCAACCATCGAAAAT